ATAAAGAATTACAAATCATCAAAAGAGTACAAGAATTAACCAGACGATTTTCCCAAATCTCCCTAGTCTTCTTCTTGCTTTCCAAGACAACTTGTGGCTCTTGATTTCTCTCCTTCTTGTCTCCAAGAATCTCTGAATTCTCCCGGTCTCCGCTTATTAGGGTTGAGGAAGGAGGGATTTTATAGTGGGTACAAAGTTGAGATGAAATAGGAATCTTGTACCAAATTGGACTCAAATTCTAATTCCTATATTTAAATAAAGAAATTGTCGTCTTTAATGATATTTAGAATTTGGAAGATTCCTTGAATTGCTAACTTTTAATATGGAGATATGAGCCTTGAAATCCGCGCAATTGATATTAGGAAAAGAGATCTCGCGCTTGTATTGAATTTTGCCCAGCTGCGCCACTTTAAGCGTCTGTTTTTATCCCAGAAACAGATGCATATTCGACGCGTCGAGACTTCCTGTGCGCGAATTAATTAGCTACTGGAAAATTTCGACGTGTCGAGCCCTTGGCTCGACGCGTCGAGTCCACTGGGCCCCGAACTCATCCAAAATTGCTCCAAACTCATCCTTGAACTCCCCTTGGTCATATCTTTGACCTAAAATGGTTCAAAAACACTAACAAACACCGTAAAATATTCAAAACAAGTGCGAACCATAATTAAATGATAATAGCAAGGAAAACATGTATTAAATAAGCAAAATTAAAGAGCTTAATTACTGTGATGATTCAAAATAACCATAAAAACAAGCACAGATGTGATAACATCACTCTCGGTCAAACCTACTCTTCTCACATGTGAATTGGATGAGTATTCACTCGGGGAGACCATCAAACGCAAGGAGAAATTGGATTAAATTAAGAATCTACTTGTTTCATGACCTTATTATTAGTCTATTTTAGAGAAATCATCTCATGTTCATGACATCTTGTTCAAATTTGTTTCGTGATAATAATGATGATTTTCTGCCACAAAAATGTATCAGTCTGTCATCTGTGCGTTTGGGAATCTAAATTTTCTAAATATCTCTGATCTTGGAATCATCATCTTCTTTGAAAATATCAGTTGAAAGTCTTCTACGAAATTAATGGTCAGTTGAAGAAATTGATGGTCATTAATTATAGCATTCAATGCTTCATGGATTTTTGCCTCAACATCTCTATACTTCGTGGCTATAAAAGGAGGACCTATCTTTCTCTAATCCATCATCTCCTATCTCAAAATGTATCCTAAAAAGCCTTTCACCAGAGGAGACTCACAAAGAAGAAAGGAAATGGTTCGAAAAATTAGGGAAGAGCAAGGTGATCTCTACCCTGGAACAGCCTTAGAGCTCCCCTGGAAATCACCTCTGACAGTGAATCATCTCATCTCTACGATGAAATGGCTGGATACATAGTCGAAGAACCTGAAGAAACCCCTCAAAAGGAGGAAATCCCCACAGACCTGCCTAACAAGCATATTGACAAATACTATCTCAAATATCTGAACGAAAAACCCAAGTCTGGAGAAAATTCTACCGAAGATGGATCTGTTTCGTCATCAGATTCAAACTTTCTGAGAACCGGCAAGTGGTACAAGAAAATGTGGGGAGAGCTTATGAAGCCAAAAGCTGAGCCGAGTGAGCAAAAGGAAGAAAGGAGAAAGAAAATTTGATCTATTAATTATGTATCTCCTATCTTGTAATCTTCCTTACGGAACAATAATATGATCTTCGTTCTAATGGTGTTTATCAGAGTTTATATCAGTGCTGAACGAAACTTTATTTATTTTGTTTGCATTCACATATCTCGTTCCTAAACGAATATCTCTGACCGAGCTTTATTCTCTTGGAAATGATTATATTCTCTCTAGTTTCGATGGAGCATGAAAATTATCTCAGTGACTGGTCATTCATGGCTACACCTTTTGATAAATCCATCTCCTATAAGAAGGGATCTCTCATGACAAATAGAATCACTCCTCTCATAATCCTTCAAGTTCGAAATACTATCTATCGTTATGGACAAAGGGAAGAAGATGTGCTTTCCAACCAAGGATATGACAAAGAAAGTTCGCTTTGAGATCAATCCTTCTCATGAGCACAACAATTCTTCAAGGGAAGGATCATCCTCTGGTGACGGATTCACCAAAGTTTCGAGTCTCTCTCGCTTCCTCACTCTTGTGGAGCTAGCACCTCAACTTAAAACTGAAGAGAAATACACAGCAATGAATGCTGCAGCTCAAGCACGAGTTAAGGCTGAAATGGATGCCATGGAAAAGAGAGGACTTTCCAGAGATGTTATGGGAACTGATCACGAAAAGATTGTGGATGAAGTGTTCGCTCTCAAAATCGCCAAGATGGAAAATGCTGAGAATGCCCGAAAGAAGAGGGAAGACAAAAAGTAAAAGCTCGTACAGCCTGGATCACGTGAGATGCTGTCAAGTTTTTAATATCTCTATGTTTCGTGTAATAATCATCTCTCGGGCTTTGCTATATGTTTTCGTTGTATGTCTTGTATAGGTTCACGAAACTTTATTTGTTTCGTGGACTTGTTTCTTCGTGATAAGTAAAATGTGTTATGTTTCGGTTTGAGGCGTGCTCAAGAAGATACACTGTATCCAGATCATCTGAACTGTTGATACATATTTTCAGTGGGCATCGTGTGGCCGAGAAAACCGGTCCACTACCTCTGTTAGTTGATCTGACCTGCATTTAATGCACCTAAACGCACTCAAGTGGTTTTCTCTCTCCTCCTTAATGAAGAATGATCAAAATTGATCTGCAAATGATATTATCATATCTCTATCACTAGATCAGTTACCCCTTTAGTGGAATTGGAACCGATTGAATTTCGAAATTCAAACCATCCACAATTCACATGGGTCACCCGGTTTTCCCTATACCCTAGACCCACGTCAACCCTACATAAACCCGCCTTCTACCATCTTTCATCTTTTTCCTTCATCCTCACCATCAAATTCATCCTCTCACCAAAACTCTCTCAAAATTCTCTCAAATGGCTAAGAAATCTAAAACCACACCATCAGACGTCGAATATGAAGCACCATCTACAATGGAGATACCCACCTTCCCAACAGACGACATCAACTTCATTGAGTCACGGACTATCTTCATCGCTGGTGGCAATATGTGGGATGCCCATGGTTTCTTAGAGTACGTCATCGATCGCAACTTTGGTGAAAAAGTCATCGCCCTTCTACAAGAAACCAGTTTGTACAGGTTTGTAGTTCATCTTTATACATTTTGGTTTCCCACAGATGTTGCTCAGTTTTATCTGAATGCAAGTGTATCCCCATATGGACTCACCATATCTTCGAGAGTCAACCAAACTGATGTGACAATCACATCGGAGGATATTCGAGCAGCCTACGAATTTCCTCAGCGAGATGAGTCATACAAGACGAACTTCGCTTTCTACCATTATGATCAAAATGACTTCTATAGATTTATCAAAAACAAGCAAGCTCCCAGTGTAATCTCGTGGCCCTTAAAGAAGAAATGGTTCCGCCTGGACTACGAGTTCACAGTGGATATCTTTAACAAGATCGTAGAGCACAAGACGTCAGGCACAGACGACGTGACAAAGGACAAGTTAAAAATGCTGCACGCATTTCTCAATGAACACAAGGTCGATTGGTCAAAAGTCATCTTCAACAATCTTCTCCATGTCATCACACATGGTAGAACATCTCCTGGAGACATCTCAAAGAAGATGGGGTTCGGATTTTTGGTAAGTCATCTCCTTACCACGAAAAATATCCCCCTAAGAGCAGGAGCAAGGCCTGGACCGAAGGCGTGCCACATGAAGTATAAGCCCACGGGTTACGACAAGCAGAAAGCGTTGGAGTTGGAGATACCATTGGAATTGGTCAAATCTAAACGCAAGTCTAAGAAGGCGAAAAATTTGGAAGATGACCAACCAGAGCCTAAACGACGAAATAAAGAAAAGAGTTCGTCTCATGTCAAGACGAAAGAAGTACCTGAAGAGCAAGCGATTCCAAACGAAAGGACGACTCAAACACCACCTGTTTCATCAAAGAATCCAGTCGTTGTGGAGAATTCTTCGGATGATGATGATCATATCGTTCTCTCTACTCTCGGACAAAAATCAACTGGAAGATTTCGCTCTCCTGTCAAAGCAAAATCTGTTCCATCTCCTTCGTCAGCGCTGGATGAAAAGGCGAAAGAAGTATCTTCTCAGGGGGAAGATAAGGCGAAAGAAGCATCTCCTCAGAAGGAAGATAAGGCGAAGGAAGCATCTTCCAAGAAGAAAGATAAGGCGAAAGAAGCATCTTCTAAGGGGGAAGATAAGTCGAAAACTTCCAAGAAAAGGAAGGATTTCCTCAGACACAAATCCTCCAAAAACCCTCCATCCACAAGAACCCATCTCAGTAGAGCGACTATCTCTATGTTCGACACAAGAACCTGCTGTTATGGAAATGGAGGTTAATCACTTAAGTCTCCCACAAGAACCTGGCTTGCCAGAAGAGACGAGAGAAGTGATTGCTAACCCGATTGTTGCTGATGTTCTTCCCACAGAAAGTTCCCTCCCACAAGAACCTACCTTTGTAGAACAGGTACCGAATATTCTGACACAAGAACCTGCATCGGTAGTTGAGGACGAAAGCTTGATAGCTGCAAAAGCCACCGACCCGAAAGCAATTGTGACAGTACCAGAAGCTGCGCCAATCCCTCCATCAAGAGATCAACTACTTCGAGAATCTATGGAGAATGATTTCAATAGAGTCATGCAATGGCAAAAATGGCGCACATCTCCATTAGATACCCTTCTTGAAACATCTGAAGCAATGAAGGACGAGGAACAATTTGCCTTAGAGTGGATCGGCACAAAAGATGTATATGAAGCATTGCGTCTTGAAACGATTAGATGAGTGTACTCCTAAAAAGTGACCAATTGCACTCTCGGGAAAGAGAAGGCACCCATTTGCATTGAGCTTAACAAGCCACCTTTGGATCCAGCTTTTGTTGAAGAAATGAAGGAGCTTCGATATGCACTACTCCTATCCAAGATTAAGACTGAATTGGAAAAGACTCATCAAAATGATCCGGGATGCAATGTCAGCGGATTAAAAGATGATGAAGGAAGGGAAATTGATCCCGAAGATGAACAGAACCAAGAAAACAACCATGCTGAAGATGCTGATGACAAAAATGACCATGCTGAAGATGCTGATGATGAAAATGATAGTGATGCTGCAGATGATGATGAAGATGATGATAATGATGATGATGACAACAATAAGGGTAACCCGAACTATGACAGTGAATCTCCTCTATTAATTACTGATGACCCTTTACCCGAAAGAACCTCATCTCAACATTCATCCTCAAAGAGTGATAGCAAAAGGGAAGCATCACTTAGGCCTGAGAACTCAACAGCAAGTGGATTGGTTAAAGCCTCCCCTTGGATTGGAATTCCTCATGCTGAAGAAATTTCAAATGCACCTATTGAAGACTTATCTCGTGTTATCGTCCCCCATATTGATCACATGGACGAATCACCAATCAAGCGAGAAGATGCTACAATTCGTGAGGGAAAAATGGATGCCTCACCTATTCTTATCAGCTCAGCCAGTGGTGGCAAAAAGGATACACCACCTCGAGAAGAACCGATGGACACTTCACCCACCAACATTGAAGCCGATTCTCCACCAATGTCTCCACGTCGCATCATGAACCTTATGATGGGCACGGTTCATACAACCGAAGTTATTCACCAAGAATATTTGTTCCTTCGCCGCAAGGATTCCCAAACCTTGGAAGAATTATCCAAGAAAGTAGACCAACTAATGGCTACTCAAGCTCAATCTCGTCCTCCACCTCAAGCTCAACCTCAACCACAACCGTCAGCTCAACCGAAAAGATCCTATAAAGCTCAACTGGTGAAAGAACTTCATGAGCTTCAAACTGCTGTGAACAAGGTGGCACGTCAACAGCATTAAATCAAGCACTCTCACTACAGTCTCAAGGCGAGAGTTGATTTGGCATGCACAAAGATTGAGACTGCACACGATAACTCATATCAAATGGGCCAATATTCGCTCCAAATCCTTGGATATGTGCAAGGCATCTTGATTGCTATTAGCAATTTGTCTCCCCTAGCTCCTACTACGTGTGCTGATGATGCCAAAAAGGGGGAAAAGAGGAATCCTGATGATAAGGATGATGACCATCTTAGGGATGCACAAAGAGACTCTGATAGAAGAAGCATAAAGTCTTTGCCTCCACCTCCAGCTTCCAAGTCTCGTGATCACCAACCTTCACAATCAAGACATCACTCGTCTCGTGATCACCAACCTTCACATTCCCGACATCATTCTATGAAGCCTCGCCAATCTTTTGGTTCTGAATCTAAATACATATTCAGTGGACTTTCTAAGAGAGAAAGGAAGAACCTCAGGCAAAAGTTATGAGAGATAGAACTGTAACAATGGATGGTGTGGGAAATTTTGTTGATTTTAAGCCTTATGAAGAAGGAAGCGCAAAACGTTTTGAAGGATGCAATGTTCCTATCTGGATGAAGACAAGAGATAACCATACAAGGCAATACCACATAAGCTCTCAAAACGAAAGCATCAAGAGAACTAACAGAGAGTTATGGGACAAGCATGAAAAGGAAGCACTAGAAAGAGAGCACGAACTCCGGGAAAGAGAACGAGTAAAGGAGCTAATCAAAGATGTCACAAAAGTGACCAAGAAATCTGAATCAGGAGTCATATACAATGCAGCTTTTAAAATTCATCCCGAATCTGGAAAAATCTACACAGAAGGAATGCAATCTTTCGAGCTCATCTCTTGGTGGAAATTAGGCATTGTAGAAGGATAAAACATTCTCGAGGCTTACAACAACTATATAAGCCTCAACATCAAAGGAAAATATGAAGATCTAGTCAAGAAGAACCCAATCAAAGTTTTCAGAGATCGTATCAATGAAGATATTGATTGTGACAGAATGCTCAAGGAGCAAAGAGAAAGAGACAACCGTGAACTAAAGGAGGCTAAACTGCAGAAGGCGAAACTGTTAGAAATGTAAAATACTTTACATTCTGCTCTCCTTAAATTTTTGTAAGTGTTTTATCTATATATGAATTCTTCGTTGTTACATCTTTCGTGTCTTTTGTCTAAGTTACTTGTCAGTATCCTATCAATAATTTGTATTATCCTTAGAAATCACTTGTAAACTCTCGATAATGGCTGTTTTGAAATAAAGAATCCTTTATGGGACATTTACCAGCCTTCTGAGAAGAGTATAGGTTTTGGCATCATCAAAAAGGGGGAAATTGTTATGAACTCTTGTATTAGGATTTTGATGATACCAATGTAACTTAGAATGTAGACCCCTAACTTTCGTTATTTCCATCGCTGCCTTCGTTCTAGACGAAAGTTGCCATAACTCATCTTGTAATTCGTGTTAAGTTAGACAAACACACGAAAACGAGTTATGTTTCTTAGTTAGGTCTACCAAAGCGAGAAGAGACAAAGAACACGAGATCAAAGGCTTCAACAACGAAAGATAACCTCAGGTTATCAACCATCTCGACAAGACAATAACATTTATGAAGAGTTATCAAGACACTCATTCTCTCCCATAACGAGAAGAATGTCTCTACTGTCTGAGTTGATTAACCTTATAGGGACAAAAAGGACCTTAAAGTGTGAGACACACATACCAAGGAGCATTGAATGAAGCTGTACTATACTTCAGAAGCTAGAAGACAAAAAACCCTAAGGTTGTTCATGTCTACAACGGCTACATGGTACAAACCGCATTAATGGAGCATTTATTGCGCCAAGTTCCCCGGTCCATACCCACTAGATAATAGGATTGAAATTTCATCTCCCTCCAACGGATGAAATTTTCCACTCCTACAAATACCCACCTTCATCAACTTAGAAGGTGCTGGTTCTTTTCACTCGATCATACTTTCAAGCAAAAACTCTTATACAAGCTCACCTCCTTACCAAGCTTTTGTGAACCAGTTGTCAAGGTGTGAAGATTCTTAAAAGAAGTCCATCAATCTTCATCTTCCACCTTGAAGAAGTCTTGCGATTTGTACGAAGCAATCATCCTTAAGTCAGTCAAGACTTCACCGTGTTGGAGAAATAAGAAATCATTTTCTACCAACCTCATCTCTGAAGAAGACGTTGATAGAGGCGGAGTAAACTCGCGGAGTTGAAAAACCTACAGGAAGCTGTCCAGCTTAGTGATAAAGGAAGCTTTCGTGTATTTTTACTAACAAGTGATAGTGCAAACCTTCCATAAGTTGTGGAAGAAGAGTGGAGTAGGAAAAGTTGGCCGAACCACTATAAAAACTCTCGTCTCTCTATCTTTTTACTTTCGTGCTTTACATTCTAGAATTGCATTATTATTCGTTCAAACCGAAAGTTGTCTTAAAACTTCAAACTGTGCAAAGAAACTAAAACTAACTTAATCTATCCGCTGCGCTACAACCCCGAAAGGTTGCTATTTGCCAAAAATCGAGAAGAGTCTATTCACCCCACCCCCCCCCCCCCCCTCTAGACTCTCGTTCTAACACTACCAGGACCAACATAAAATAATTCCTAAAATTCGAATATATATATATATATATATATATATATATATATATATATATATATATAAGTTCCAGTGCGTGTGAATGCTTCGCGTGCGGTTGTGCGGGTGATTGATGTGCGTGAGTTTTGTACATAATGTGCGTGAGTCTTATGCTTAAGGTGTGTGAGGTTTGTGCTTAATGTGTGTGAGTTTTGTACTTAAGGTGCGTGAGTTTTGTGCTTAATGTGCGTGAGTGTGTACTTATTGTGAGTTGTTGAAACTTTAAAGTGCATGAGTTTTATGCTTAATGTGCGTGAGTTTTGTGCTTAAGGTGCGTGAGTTTTGTGCAAGCCAAGAAATAAAACAGAGTAAAAGCCATAAAAATTATATAAAAACATATTATAGAAATGGCTGTCAACCAAAAGCTTGTTACCGTGTTATGTATGTTCATGGTTGTCTTCTCCTCAATGCATAATGTTTATGTTTACGCAGACTCTGATATATTTAGCGGTTGGTTAAAGAAGGTTGAAGAAAACGTAAAGCCTATTCAATTTCATTCGAGGAAATTAATGGTGGTTTATGATAAATCCACCACTATTAAACCCATTGATGCTCGTGCTTTTCATGCAAACAAGATGAAGGCAGACTCCGATATATTTGGGGATTGGTGACCAACTAACTAGACATATATAATTCAGACTTTTCAAACATTAAGCGACATGTGGGATTGCAATAGCTGCAATAAGGACAACTAGATACTAAAGAGTAACTCCCAAAATCATTGGGCTTGGTCTGTGAGAAAACAATAGAGTAATGGAATGATTCAAATCTTAATTTTGTACAATATAATATATTCTTTTTTGTTTCACCACCAAATGTAATATTTGTACGGATCATTAATGAAATTTGATATTCCCATTGCATTTTAATTTGATTTGTTACCTTCAACTTCTTAATTACCTAATGCATATATGCTCAATCTTTTACCCCAAAATTTTTGTGTATGAAACGAACAAATAGACCATAGAAATATTTAATTTCTCCCTTATATCCTTACTAGCTAGTTTTACATTGATTTAATGCCCACCGTTTATATTAAATTAAGTAATTTAAAGTATATCAATGCAAGATTATTTAAGAGAAGCTCATTATAGTTGACATAAAAATTAATATTTAATTTGCACTTTTCTAAATACTTAGGTAGTATGGTATTAGGTATTAGTTTTGTTAATTCACTTTTGGATAGGTTTATCATTGTTTCATTGCTTGTTCACCTTTTTTTTTTTTGTTTGTAGTTGTGCTAATTTGTAAAAGGAATAAATTTAGGGTGTGTTTGGTTGGCAGGTTTAGCACTCAGGTATGTGTATGAAAGTGATTGTTATTGTTTGGTTGACTGGTTTTTAAAACACTACTATGAGTTTGGAATACCCTATTAATGGAAAAACCAATTCCCTTATTTTATAATGGTTTCATTTCATTGTTCATCCTTAGCCTAATCATTTCCATTCCACCCTACTACCAAATATACAAAATACTTTCGTCAAAACCCATTACCATTACCAAGTATTTGATACCCATTCCGATTCCCATGTGCGAACCAAACACACCCTTAGTCTAGTCTAATTAGTTTTGTTACATTACATAAATAAATGCATGGAATCCCCAGTGATATTTATAAAAGGGAAAATCAACGATTTGGTCCCTCAATTGTTAGCGAAATATCAATGTAGTCCCTTAATCGCGTAATTATCAATTTGGTTCCTCGAAATAACTGTTTTTAGTTGATTTAGTCCCTCCGGCCGTAGTCCGTCAATAATCCGGCGATAGTCTTTTCACACCATCTCACCTCAAAAATATGGCAGTCGAGTCTTATCATGTGCTTTGGAGCCTTCGTCTGTCTAGAGCCTTCGTCCGGCCTCCCCCAGGTCATCGCCTTCAACATCGCAGCGATTAGACGGCTTTGGAGCACTTTCGTGATCACGGTCCAGATTCATCTATGGCGACGCCGGCGGTAGCCCCTCTCGACCCTCTGGAGTTGTCGTAGAGCCTCAGCGGAGTGATCTCCATGGTCGAATTGAAGAACGACTACCGGTTGCGAAGAGTATAGTTCGGCGATGTGGAATTCAAAATAGAGGGAAGAGATTGTGGAATTCAAAAGTCAAATAGATTAAAGTGTAAAGTGAGCAGTGAGAATAGTGTTAGGTGGGCTGGTGGTCAGTATCTTTCTTATTAAGTTGCAAACAATCCGGGATGGAATGACTGAAATTCTTGTGTGAAATTCCTCGTCGATTTCTGTTTCCCCAGATCCATTCTCAGGCAAGCTTTGATTATTGTCCGGGAGGTGAAAATTGGATATATGCGAAAAGTGCAGACTTTTCTAGGATTGAAGAGAGATATGGAGAAGCT